ATAAAAGCCCATGTGCTTCCGTATTATATTCATTCATTTGTCGCCGAAAAGCTGTGTTAAAAATGCCACGATTGAGTGCTGCCGACCGAAATATCGCCATTGGTCGTGTTCAAGCCGGAGAAAGTTTTGGAACTGTTGCACGGCACCTAAATGTTCACAAAACAACGATATCCCGACTTTGGAGCCGCTACAACAACTTCAATTTGACCAACGATCGCCCGAGAAGTGGAAGGCCAAGAATCACGACCCCCCCGTCAAGATCGGTACATCCGGGTCCATCACCTGCGTAATCGGCATGCCCTACCAACGGTGACTGCCACACAAATACCAGGTTTGAGGAGAGTGTCAGCTCAAACGATTAGGAACCGTCTGAAAGAAGCGGGTTTACGTGCCTGTAGACCAGTTGTTGGACCTGTACTACGCCCCCTACATCGACGCCGACGACTCAGGTGGTGCAACAACGTAAGGATACGGACTTTACAAAACTGGAGGCGAATCTGGTTTTCTGATGAATCACGTTTTCTTTGCAACGTCACGACGGAAGACAGCGTCTGTATAGGAGACGTCATAAACGTTTTGCGCCCATCTGCGTCCGACAGGTGGACAGATTTGGCGGAGAAAGCGTCATGGTTTGGGGAACCATCTCATACAACCAGAAATCAGACTTGGTGATCGTTCCAGGAACCTGACAGCCCAACGTTACATCAACCACGTGTTAGAGCTTCACCTTCTCCCGATTATTGACCAACAGACACAGATTTTTCAACGGGACAACGCCCGGCCTCATACTGCACGTGCAACAATGAACTTTCTGCAGAATTCCAACGTCAATGTCTTGCCATGACCCTCTAAATCACCAGACCTCAACCCTATTGAACACCTGTGGGATACTCTGGATCGACGCGTACGTCAACGTCAGCCGCCGCCACAGACGCTGCAACAGCTCGCCGTTGCACTGCAGGAGGAGTGGAGAGCCATTCCCCAGGAAAGAATCCGGCGTCTTATCCGTTCTTGTCCAAGGAGATGCCGTGCAGTGATTGCAGCGCGTGGTGCTCATACGAGATACTGAGAAAGACGCCCCCCTGGTGACAAACTGGTGTCTGTGAGATGACTTTTGAAATGACAATTTTAAACATGCCCATCTGGGTTATTATTCTGCCAAATTTCAGACTTCTGTCTTAAATAATAAAAATGCCGTGTCGTCCTAAAACTTCAGATCAAAATCTCTAAAATACAGGGGTTGCGTTTCTTTTTTGACAGAGTTTATGTCAAATGTGTGTGTGGTACTTGATAAATGTGAGTGAATTTGATAACTGTAATGTGTGTATTCAATTGATCACTAGGATAATACCCTTGACCTAAATGATGTCTAGGGGCGGTGGGGTAGCCTAGTGGTTAAAGCGTTCGCTCGTCACGCCGAAGACCCGGGTTCGATTCCCCGCATGGGTACAATGTGTGAAGCCCATTTCTGGTGTCCCCCGACGTGATATTGCTCGAATAGTGCTAAAAAGCGGCGTAAAACTAAACTCACTCACAAAGTAATGTCCACATTTAGCTGCGGATGCAAGTACTGATGAACAAAGGAAAAAGTAAACCCGGCACAGGAATACGAAAATCGGAGCGAAATAAGGAATCCGTCTAAGCTTGCCGTGTTGTTCGACTGTATTGACATCGTAGGATTAAATTGATATGTAAAGAGACATTGTTTGCCTTGTTATATTGTTTCAATTTCAAAAACTGGTTTCCCTGTTCATATGGGTAAAGCAGTATCTTCAAGGAGATATCGCTAAATTGAAATGCTGTCACAAGGCTTTCCAAACCATGACTACACAATCAACTGACACCACTAGTCTCTATGCTATGGCAAGCCGTTTTCACACTTGTTAAGAAATACTGATATCTTAAATTGTTTTAAAGATATCTTCTATGAAATTAGGAATATCTTGAATTGAAGAAAATCTTGAAATGAATTAAAGAGTTTACGTGTGACAAGTAGCTATTTTCTGTGATACAATAAATGAAAAGAAACTGCGGAAATAAGAAATTAAAGCGGAGTTCCAATTCGACTAAAGTTTGTTCTTTTGCAACTACCTGTGAAGGTCCGGGTTAGAAATGACCTTCCGTAACCCATGCTTGTCGTAAGGGGCGACTAATGGGATCGGGTGGTCAGGCTCGCTGACTTGGCTGACGACATTCGTCACCACTCGCCCCTTTCCGTATCGCTATTCGGCTTGTCCCGGAATAACACGAGTTGGTCACGAATGGGCTGACAAGTGTCATCTTATCCCAATTGCGTAGATCGATGCTCATGCTGTTGATCGCTGGATTGTTTGGTCCAGACTCGATTAATTTACAGCTGGAATATTGTTGAGTGCGCTGCTAAACAACCAACCAACCAACTGTTTTCAGCATTCACTGTAAATATCTGTAAGACTGATTCTGGATGATAAACAGAATCTCACCCCTTTTACCTTTTGGCGTCGAATCAACACGACTTAACTAGATATGTTAATTATTTAATGACACTTGGTGAGATTTACATGTAACCATCGTCATGAGGAAAAGGTACAAGGACGTACTGGTCTGGATGTCGATAAGTCGAAATTTAATCCAGGGACTGAATGCGACACTGATTGATATCTTATCGGCTTGTCAATGAATAAATGGATCATTATTCATAATTTCAAAATTTACACATATCCCTAACTATTTTTGTCCAGTATATAATAATTCTACATTGAATTCGGGTCTCTTTCAATCCAAACGGTTTCAGTCACAATGAGGTGAAATTAAACTTCAAAATGTTAAGAACTGTTACCATAACAGATTCTGCATCACATGGCTGTAATACTGCTGAGTCGGGCGTTAAAGCTCTTGTCGCCGCAGATATAGCCCGTGTGTTGTCGCTGTGCCGTGTTTATTTGTGAGTCCAGAGGTAAACAACAAACCAAAACACGTTTTTATACATTGATAGAAGAGATATAAAATCACCCGACATATCACCAATAATTATCTTCACGTCTTTGTCTGGAATGACAGTTTGTCCCGGAAGTGAAGATGTTTTCTCACTATATATACATCAGGGGCGGATACCATCCTCGATAATCTCCTGGATATACGTTCCGCTAAATCTCAACTATACCTTGGATGCATCTACGGCTCGAGCCGATGATTTTATTACCTCCCTTGGTTGGCCTTTAATCCAATCAGGTGTCTACGCTAGGAAGTTGAGCGTACCAATCACAACTCACTTTCGCTTTTTAGAAGTTTGTGTGTGTGTGTGTGTGTGTGGGGGCATTCTATTGAGAAAAGGGAGGGTGCACATTTCATTTTCACCCGAGTTTCAATGGTCATTTAATAAACTTTCAGGACAAAAGGGCGGGTGCGCAGCCCTGCACCCCTCTTCTGGATCCGCCTATGTACATGTATATAACAACAGAAAGATGAGTAAAAAGTAACCGGAGGATTGATTGATGTCAGGAACTAAAAGAATCTAGATTTGCCCAAATATTCTAGATTTGAGTGGGACTTTTTTTTCAGTCTGGCACACAGACCCTCATCCTTTTTTTCACGTTCTTAAATCTGTTTGTATGTCTGTTTGTCTGCCTGAACGTTTGTTTGGCCTGCACCATACACCCACGGATCGCCCTTACACTGTAATGTACTCTGCCTACAGCATCACACTCTGTAGGTAATTCATTATACTCTGAAAAATCTTTTAAATTTTAGGGGAAGTGTCACCCAAGTACTGGTGAATAATCTCCCCGCAGAATCATGTTTAAATACAGTATTGTTTAATAGGCATTGCTTCGGTGGAGTTTCCGTACCTCTGTGTTCTTCCCTTTATATTAAACCATTTTGATATTTACAAGCTATTGTTTTCTGTTGTGTTGCCTGCAGTGTGTACGTTATTGATAATAAATTCTGTTACGAATTAACCTCCAAACGGTGATTAATTCTCCCGCGAAATAGATCACCTTCTTTACGGTAATTATTTCCCCAAGAATGGTCCTCCCTCAATACGGAATTCAATCCCCACGAACGGACCACCCTCTATACGGTAATTGTTTCCCCAAGGAAGGACCTACCTCTATACGGTAATTGTTTTCCAAAGAATAGACCACCCTCTATACGGTAATTGTTTCCCAAAGAATGGACCACCCTCTATACGGTAATTCTTTCCCAAGAACGGACCACCCTCTATACGGTAATTATTTCCCCACGAATGAACCGATCTATATACGCTAATTATTTCCCCACGAATAGACCACCCTCTATACGGTAATTGTTTCCCAAGAACGGACCACCCTCTATACGGTAATTATTTCCCCACGAATGAACCGATCTATATACGCTAATTGTTTCCCCACGAATGGACCACCCTCTATATGGTAATTTTGTCCCAAGTACGGACCACCCTCTATACGGTAATTATTTCCCCACGAATGAACCGATCTATATACGGTAATTGTTTCTCAAGAACGGACCACCCTCTATACGGTAATTATTTCCCCACGAATGAACCGATCTATATACGCTAATTATTTCCCAACGAATGGACCACCCTCTATACGGTAATTGTTTCCCAAGAACGGACCACCCTCTATACGGTAATTATTTCCCCACGAATGAACCGATCTATATACGGTAATTGTTTCCCAAGAACGGACCACCCTCTATACGGTTATTATTTCCCCACGAATGAACCGATCTATATACGGTAATTGTTTCCCAAGAATGGACCACCTTCTATACGGTAATTGTTTCCCAAGAACGGACCACCCTGTCTACGAATGAACCGATCTATATACGGCAATTATTTCCCCACGAATGAACCGATCTATATACAATGATTATTTCCCTACGAATGGACCACCCTCTATACGGTAATTGTTTCCCAAGAACGGACCACCCTGTCTACGAATGAACCGATCTATATACGGCAATTATTTCCCCACGAATGGACCACCCTCTATACAGTAATTGTTTCTCCCACGCAGGACCACCCAGGGACCAATGTGACACTCATCAAAGCCTACAGTAATCTACATAGCTTGAAACCACTCTGGAGCCAGGTGGGGACGATCAAGGCGCAGCTTACTGCTGTCATGAACAGCAACCCTGCAGGCATCCATCTTGTTTGCTTCTCGCAAGGTGAGTGAAGGGACACACATTTCAGGGTGGGTGGATGTCTTTGTTTCCTTGTAAGGTGAGGGGTTATATACATTTACTTGTCTCCGTGTTAGGTGTTATAGATTATAGATGCATTTTCCACTTGATCCCTTTTTAGGGGTAGGCTAGCATATATACTATAAGTTACGGTTTTTAGGGTAGGGGAAAATTATACTTTTTCCCTTAATATTAAGGAATTATTCAGAATATTGTGGGGCAATATGCAGAATGTGTCCCTTTGTTAGGGTCGGGCCAATTTGCAGAATTTGATGGTTGGTTGGTTGGGCAATATGAGGAATGTTTCCCTTGTTGTGGGTGGGGCAATATATAGAATTTGTCCCTTTGGTAGGGTCGGGGCAATATGCAGAATTTGATGGTTGGTTGGTTGGGCAATATGAGGAATGTTTCCCTTGTTGTGGGTGGGGCAATATATAGAATTTGTCCCTTTGGTAGGGTCGGGGCAATATGCAGAATTTGATGGTTGGTTGGTTGGGCAATATGAGGAATGTTTCCCTTGTTGTGGGTGGGGCAATATATAGAATTTGTCCCTTTGGTAGGGTCGGGGCAATATGCAGAATTTGATGGTTGGTTGGTTGAGCAATATGAGGAATGTTTCCCTTGTTGTGGGTGGGGCAATATATAGAATTTGTCCCTTTGGTAGGGTCGGGGCAATATGCAGGATTTGATGGTTGGTTGGTTGGGCAATATGAGGAATGTTTCCCTTGTTGTGGGTGGGGCAATATATAGAATTTGTCCCTTTGGTAGGGTCGGGGCAATATGCAGAATTTGATGGTTGGTTGGTTGGGCAATATGAGGAATGTTTCCCTTGTTGTGGGTGGGGCAATATATATAGAATTTGTCCCTTTGGTAGGGTCGGGGCAATATGCAGAATTTGATGGTTGGTTGGTTGGGCAATATGAAGACTGTTTCTGTTGTTAGGGGTGGGGCAACATGCAGAATTTGATGGCTGGTTGGTTGTGCAATATGCAGAATGTGTCCCTTTGTTAGGGTCGGGACAATATACAGAATTTGATGGTTGGTTGGTTGGTTGGGAAATATGAAGACTGTTTCCCTTGTTGTGGGTGGGGCAATATATAGAATCTGTCCCTTTGTTAGGGTCGGGGCAATATGCAGAATTTGTTGTTTCATTGGTTGTGCAATATGCAAAATGTTTCCTTTGTTAAGGGTGGGGCAATATGCAGACTGTGTCCTTTGTTGGGTGCAATATGCAGACTGGTCCGTATGGTGCAGGGGACCGTCCCTTGTCAGGGGTGAGGAAATATACATTTGTTCCTCCTTTAGGGGAGAGGGAATATGAATTATTGCACCTTTGTTAGGGGTTAGGGAATATAAGGCTCATATCAAGGCAATGTCACCACAGGGATGGGTACATACTGCTTACAGACTCGGGGGTGACAGGTTTCTCTTAGGGAGTACTTTGTACACGTTCTTGTGGCACCGAAGATGCCATAAACTCTGCCATTTCTTTACTTTCAGGGGGGTTGATATGTCGAGGCCTCCTGTCCGTGCTCCGACATAACGTGGACACATTCATAGCACTCAGCTGCCCCCTCGCTGGTCAGTATGGATGTGAGTATATATCTGAGAGTAATCTTTGAGTATACCCTGACAGAATCTCAGTATTCCCCGACACAATCTGTGAGTATACCCCGACAGAATCTCAGTATTCACCGACACAATCTGAGTATACCCTGACAGAATCTCAGTATTCACCGACACAATCTGAGTATACCCCGACAGAATCTCAGTATTCACCGACACAATCTGTGAGTATACCCTGACAGAATCTCAGTATTCCCCGACACAATCTGTGAGTATACCCTGACAGAATCTCAGTATTCACCGACACAATCTGTGAGTATACCCTGACAGAATCTCAGTATTCACCGACACAATCTGTATACCCTGACAGAATCTCAGTATACCCTGACAGAATCTCAGTATTCCCCGACACAATCTGTGAGTATACCCTGACAGAATCTCAGTATTCCCCGACACAATCTGAGAGTATACCCTGACAGAATCTCAGTATTCCCCGACACAATCTGTGAGTATACCCTGACAGAATCTCAGTATTCACCGACACAATCTGTGAGTATACCCTGACAGAATCTCAGTATTCCCCGACACAATCTGAGTATACCCTGACAGAATCTCAGTATTCACCGACACAATCTGTGAGTATACCCTGACAGAATCTCAATATTCCCCGACACAATCTGAGAGTATACCCTGACAGAATCTCAGTATTCCCCGACACAATCTGAGTATACCCTGACAGAATCTCAATATTCCCCGACACAATCTGAGTATACCCTGACAGAATCTCAGTATTCCCCGACACAATCTGAGTATACCCTGACAGAATCTCAATATTCCCCGACACAATCTGAGACAGAATACCCTGACAGAATCTCAATATTCCCCGACACACAATCTGAGTATACCCTGACAGAATCTCAGTATTCCCCGACACAATCTGAGGTATACCCTGACAGAATCTCAATATTCCCCTGACACAATCTGAGTATTCCCTGACAGAATCCTCAGAATCTCATTCCCCGACACAATCTGAGTATACCCTGACAGAATCTCAATATTCCCCGACACAATCTGAGTATACCCTGACAGAATCTCAATATTCCCCGACACAATCTGAGTATACCCTGACAGAATCTCAGTATTCCCCGACACAATCTGTGAGTATACCCTGACAGAATCTCAATATTCCCCGACACAATCTGAGTATACCCTGACAGAATCTCAGTATATTCCCCGACACAATCTGAGTATACCCTGACAGAATCTCAATATTCCCCGACACAATCTGAGTATACCCTGACAGAATCTCAATATTCCCCGACACAATCTGAGTATACCCTGACAGAATCTCAATATTCCCCGACACAATCTGAGTATACCCTGACAGAATCTCAGTATTCCCCTCACACTATCAGTGAGTATTCAGACTCGCTGACTTGGTTGACATATGTCATCGTATCCAAATTGCATAGATTGATGCGCATGCTGTTGATCATCTGATTGTCTGGTCCAGACTCAATTATATACAGACCGCCGCCATATAGCTGGAATATTGCTGAGTGCGGCGTAAAACTAAACCCACTCACTCACACACACACTTGCCATTTGGCGTTTGCTACGCTTGGGACGTGTTTAGGCTAAAGGCAGACGTCTACGTGCAGTATTCAATACGATATGTAGCAATCCGAATTCAAAGACTATTGAACAGGTTCTAACAAAAACCCAGAAATTTGACGATCCAACCCGTTCAAAGCAAGAGTATAGCATTGTTAGATCTAACAATCTACATGCTAAACTGCCGCGTGGTGTGCTGCCCTTTATCAATCCTCATACTTTACGCCGCTTTTAGCAATATTCCAGCAACATCACGGCGGGGGACACCAGAAATGGGCTTCACACGTTGTACCCATGTGAGGATTCGAACCAGGGTCTTCGGCGTCACGAGCCAACGCTTTAACCACTAGACTACCCCACCGCCCCCGTGAGTTAGTGAGCGAGCGAGTTAAGTTTTTAGCAATATTTTAGCAATGTCACGACGGGGACACCAGAAACAGGCTTCATAAATTGCACCTATGTTGGGAACCGAACCCGGTTCTTAGGCGAGCAAATGCTTTGACCAATACGCTACCCCAGCGCCCCTCTCGTCTGGAACACGATAGGGAGATGGGTGACGAGCACTGATGACCATCGTTCAGTGCAATTCATTTATCTTTGTCATACATATTTCATTAGAATGCCTCTAACAATTCTAAACATTTTGTTGTATCATTGTATCCCCGATACATCAAGAGCTGTGCATGGATGTTTATCTACCGTCATCGTAATTTGGGATGCATTTTTTCACAATAATCAATTGTCATCATCATAATTAGTAGGGCTGCGCAATATAACCGGTTTACCGGTATTTACCGGTTCAGACATGAAAACGATACGTATTGTGATACGCTGATCGAAAACCGGTATTTGACATGCATTCGGAAAACGTCGTAACACTCGGAAATCTTCGGATATAAGTAGTTTTTTGTTTAAAAATACTTCATGCAATATATTGCATTGCATATCGCAATACATGCTTTCGCGTCGCAATATATCGCAATATGAATATTCTCTGCAATACCCACCCCTAATAATTAGTCATATCTACCTTGTTTATTGTTTTAGACATGTCGTACATGAAGAAGCGTTTCCCGAAGTATGTCACAAAACACCTTTACAAGTGAGTAGACTTCAAACACGTATCCTTGAGTTATTCTGACATTTGCGAAGTTTTATCTTACCTCTAATATTATAATCTATATTCAGACCTATTAACACAATCAACGTTCTACACCTCCCTTCCTACTACCAACCTGTACCTCCTTCCTACAACCGACTGTCTGTACCTCCTTCCTACAACCAACTTTGTGTACCTCCTTCCTACAACCGACTGTCTGTACCTCCTTCCTACAACCAACTGTCTGTACCTCCTTCCTACAACCGACTGTCTGTACCTCCTTCCTACAACCGACTGTCTGTACCTCCTTCCTACAACCAACTGTCTGTACCTCCTTCCTACAACCGACTGTCTGTACCTCCTTTCCTACAACCGACTGTGTGTACCTCCTTTCCTACAACCACCTCCTTCCTACAACCGACTGTCTGTACCTCCTTCCTACAAACGACTGTCTGTACCTCCTTCCTACAACCGACTGTCTGTACCTCCTTCCTACAACCAACCTGACTGTCTGTACCTCCTTTCCTACAACCGACTGTCTGTACCTCCTTCCTACAACCGACTGTCTGTACCTCCTTCCTACAACCGACTGTCTGTACCTCCTTCCTACAACCGACTGTCTGTACCTCCTTCCTCCTACAACAACCTTGTGTCTGTACCTCCTTCCTACAACCGACTGTCTGTACCTCCTTCCTACAACCGACTGTCTGTACCTCCTTCCTACAACCGACTGTCTGTACCTCCTTCCTACAACCGACTGTCTGTACCTCCTTCCTACAACCGACTGTCTGTACCTCCTTCCTACAACCGACTGTCTGTACCTCCTTCCTACAACCAGACTGTCTGTACCTCCTTCCTACAACCGACTGTCTGTACCTCCTTCCTACAACCAACTTTGTGTACCTCCTTCCTACAACCGACTGTCTGTACCTCCTTCCTACAACCGACTGTCTGTACCTCCTTCCTACAACCGACTGTCTGTACCTCCTTCCTACAACCGACTGTCTGTACCTCCTTCCTACAACCGACTGTCTGTACCTCCTTCCTACAAACCGACTGTCTGTACCTCCTTTCCTACAACCAACTGACTGTCTGTACCTCCTTCCTACAAACGACTGTCTGTACCTCCTTCCTACAACCGACTGTCTGTACTGTAACCGACCTCCTCTTCCTACAACCGACTGTCTGTACCTCCTTTCCTACAACCGACTGTCTGTACCTCCTTCCTACAACCGACTGTCTGTACCTCCTTCCTACAACCGACTGTCTGTACCTCCTTCCTACAACCAACTGTGTGTGTACCTCCTTCCTACAACCGACTGTCTGTACCTCCTTCCCTACAACCGACTGTCTGTACCTCCTTCCTACAACCAACTGTCTGTGTACCTTCCTACAACCGACTGTCTGTACCTCCTTCCTACAACCAACCTGTGTACTGTACCTCCTTCCTACAACCGACTGTCTGTACCTCCTTCCTACAACCGACTGTCTGTACCTCCTTCCTACAAACCGACTGTCTGTACCTCCTTCCTACAAACTGTCTGTACTGTCTGTACCTCCTTCCTACAACCGACTGTCTGTACCTCCTTCCTACAACCGACTGTCTGTACTCTCCTTCCTACAAACCTCGACTGTCTGTACCTCCTTTCCTACAACCAACTGTCTGTACCTCCTTCCCTACAACCGACTGTCTGTACCTCCTCTTCCTACAACCGACTGTGTGTACCTCCTTCCTACAACCTGACTCCCTCCTTCCCTACAACCGACTGTCTGTACCTCCTTTCCTACAACCGACTGTCTGTACCTCCTTCCTACAACCGACTGTCTGTACCTCCTTTCCTACAACCGACTGTCTGTACCTCCTTCCTACAACCAACCTGTGTACCTCCTTCCTACAACCGACTGTCGACTTCCTGTACCTCCTACAACCGACTGTCTGTACCTCCTTCCTACAAACCGACTGTCTGTACCTCCTTCCTACAACCGACTGTCTGTACCTCCTTCCTACAACCAACTTGTGTACCTTCCCTTCCTACAAACCGACTGTCTGTACCTCCTTCCTACAACCGACTGTCTGTACCTCCTTCCTACAACCGACTGTCTGTACCTCCTTCCTACAACCGACTGTCTGTACTCCTTCCTACAACCGACTGTCTGTACCCCTCCTTCCTACAACCAACCTTGTGTACCTCTCTTCCTACAACCGACTGTCTGTACCTCCTTCCTACAACCGACTGTCTGTACCTCCCTTCCTACAACCGACTGTCTGTACCTCCTTCCTACAACCCGACTGTCTGTACCTCCTTCCTACAACCGACTGTCTGTACCTCCTTCCTACAACCGACTTTCTGTACCTCCTTCCTACAACCGACCGTACTGTCTGTACAAACCGACTCTCCTTCCCTACAACCAACTGTGTACTGTACCTCCTTCCTACAACCGACTGTCTGTACCTCCTTCCTACAACCTGACTGTCTGTACCTCCTTCCTACAACCTTCCTACATGTACCTCCTTCCTACAACCGACTGTCTGTACCTCCTTCCTACAACCGACTGTCTGTACCTCCTTCCTACAACCGACTGTCTGTACCTCCTTCCTACAACCGACTTCTGTACCTCCTTCCTACAACCGACTGTCTGTACCTCCTTCCTACAACCGACTGTCTGTACCTCCTTCCTACAACCGACTGTCTGTACCTCCTTCCTACAACCGACTGTCTGTACCTCCTTCCTACAACCGACTGTCTGTACCTCCTTCCTACAACCGACTGTCTGTACCTCCTTCCTACAACCGACTGTCTGTACCTCCTTCCTACAACCGACTGTCTGTACCTCCTTCCTACAACCGACTGTCTGTACCTCCTTCCTACAACCAACTTTGTGTACCTCCTTCCTACAACCGACTGTCTGTACCTCCTTCCTACAAACCGACTGTCGAACCGACTGTCTCCTCCTTCCTACAACCGACTGTCTGTACCTCCTTCCTACAACCGACTGTCTGTACCTCCTTCCTACAACCGTGTACCTCCTTCCTACAACCGACTGTCTGTACCTCCTTCCTGTACCTCCTTCCTTCCTACAACCGACTGTCTGTACCTCCTTCCTACAAACCGACTGTCTGTACCTCCTTCCTACAAACCGACTGTCTGTACCTCCTTCCTACAACCAACTTTGTGTACCTCCTTCCTACAACCAACTGTCTGTACCTCCTTCCTACAACCGACTGTCTGTACCTCCTTCCTACAACCAACTGTCTGTACCTCCTTCCTACAACCGACTGTCTGTACCTCCTTCCTACAACCAACTGTGTGTACCTCCTTCCTACAACCGACTGTCTGTACCTCCTTCCTACAACCGACTGTCTGTACCTCCTTCCTACAACAACTGTTGTGTACCTCCTTCCTACAACCGACTGTCTGTGCCTTCCTACAACCGACTCCTTCCTACCTACCGACTGTCTGTACCTCCTTCCTACAACCAACTTTGTGTACCTCTTCCTACAACCGACTGTCTGTACCTCCTTCCTACAACCAACTGTCTGTACCTCCTTCCTACAACCGACTGTCTGTACCTCCTTCCTACAACCGACTGTCTGTACCTCCTTCCTACAACCGACTGTCTGTACCTCCTTCCTACACCCAACCTCCTTCCCTCCTTCCAACTGTCTGTACCTCCTTCCTACAACCAACTGTCTGTACCTCCTTCCTACAACCAACTGTGTGTACCTCCTTCCTACAACCGACTGTCTGTACCTCCTTCCTACAACCGACTGTCTGTACCTCCTTCCTACAACCAACTTTGTGTACCTCCTTCCTACAACCGACTGTCTGTACCTCCTTCCTACAACCAACCTTGTGTACCTCCTTCCTACAACCGACTGTCTGTACCTCCTTCCTACAACCGACTGTCTGTACCTCCTTCCTACAACCGACTGTCTGTACCTCCTTCCTACAACCAACTGTCTGTACCTCTCCTTCCTACCTCCTCCTTCCTACAACCAACTCTGTACCTCCTTCCTACAACCGACTTTGTGTACCTCCTTCCTACAACCAACTGTACTGTGTACCTCCTTTCTACAACCAACTTTGTGTACCTCCTTCCTACAACCGACTGTCTGTACCTCCTTCCTACAACTGACTGTATGTACCTCCTTCCTACAACCAACTCTGTGTACCTCCTTCCTACAACCGACTGTGTGTGCCTCCTTCCTACAACCGACTCTGTGTATCTCCTTCCTACAACCGACTCTGTGTACCTCCTTCCTACAACCAACTTTGTGTACCTCCTTCCTACAACCAACTCTGTGTACCTCCTTCCTACAACCGACTCTGTGTACCTCCTTCCTACAACCAACTCTGTGTACCTCCTTCCTACAACCAACTCTGTGTACCTCCTTTCTACAACCGACTGTGTGTACCTCCTTCCTACAACCAACTTTGTGTACCTCCTTCCTACAACCGACTTTGTGTACCTCCTTTCTACAACCGACTTTGTGTACCTCCTTCCTACAACCGACTTTGTGTACCTCCTTCCTACAACCGACTTTGTGTATCCCCTTCCCACAACCTCTCTACACTTCCTTCCTACAATCTGCACTGAACACCTTGTTCTTACATCCAATTCCCTACGCCACCTTCGTACAACTTTGTTCGCAAGTTTACATTGTTCTTACAAGCGCATCTCCTAATACAATTGTATTTGTTTACCCGGTCTATGCTTTGTTGTTGTAGGGTTTTGTACACCAAGGCTGGACAAGACATATCTCTCGGCAACTTCTGGATGGGTAAGCTACACGATAGTACTAGAGTATGTGGGTTTCGGATGAGTATGTGAGCAACCCCTGCAACGCCCCTCTGGATCTGCCTATGTCTTACGAGTGTCATACCAATGTTTCAGATCCCCATCACTTGACGCAGTATCGAAAGTATTCACAGTTTCTGGCTGTCATCAACAACGACACAGACAAAGGACAAAGTCATAGTAAGCTGTCGAATCACTCCTATGTCGAAGTGCAGTTTCATGTCTTTCACAGATTTCCAAATAGTGGACGTTTTGAACTTTTGCCACCACGTGTTTCTCTTTCAAAAACGCATTTTCCGGGACAATCCTGAAGTCTAACTACGCCCAGATAATCAGATGGTTCCACCCTCATGACGTCGTAATGTTCAACAGACACGTCACCCCATACATATGTAAAGGGGTGTCACGATACAATTTGCTTAGTCTATGTTTGTTAGCTTTTGTCTGAAATCTATTACCACAGGTGCTTGACATATTCTGGTACACAAAATGCAGCATATTTTCAACCAAATCTGTATATGATATCGCCTACAAGTCGAGTTGGTGAAGACATCATTGCAAACAAATATTGACGTTTAAAATCAGGGTCCAGCATAAATTCTGCTATGGCAGTTTAGAATCCTGCTTTCTGGATGTTTCATAATCTTGCTGATGACTGCCTTACCCTGAAAGAAAATATTTATTCGTATTTTATTCATGTAGTTCTTAGAAATTATTGAGAATTTAATATTGTAATTTTTAAAAATAATTTTCAATCATTACTCACGTATTAAATGTGATTCTAAGATGCCTAGCGGTTAGAACAATCGAAAAAAACAAACATTATCAGACAATAAAGGTATAGTTTTTTGATGACGTAACAATTGAATGACGTTATCCCGTCACTGCGCCATTCTAGTGTGCCCCCTCGTAATCGAACCATTTTAAATTACGTCACAATGTAAGCGACGTCACGATGCATGTCAGTTGTCATCGCCTCGTACGGCCTCCTACAGTAAACTACTCCGTTGCATCCCGTTTCTTAGTTTGCAGTTGCTTCATCCAGCTAACATCACTGGTGGAAACATTACGTTTATGTTTTACGACGGTTAAAATGTGTCAATTCGACTCACAAGTTTTCAGCGACACGGTAACGTTCGCAATGTTTACATTCCCACAATGCAATCGTGGAATGTCGCTTGACTACTCAGCTTTATCTGAATGTACTGATCTAAACTTACGTTGGTAGTAGAAATGCGACGTTCATATTGCCCCATATGGTTTACGTTAATGACAGATGTAATTAAAATAATTCAGAGAAGATATTTAATCCGAATGTAAACCGTCATCAAACTGTTATCATTTGTTTTTTTTTCTGGTTACGTTCGTCTTAACGTAGGGGGGCAGACACATCAATAGAATAGCGCGCCAGTTAACCCTGTGCGAGGATTCTTAATTTAGGTCACCGACACCGTCGTTTGTTTTCTGCCTTAAATTATTCGTAATTATCCTTAGAAAGTATTAAATTTGGCATCTTAGAAAAGAAGTACAGTTCGCTTTACCACCATGTATAGTGTAATAAAGCACACTTTCGCCCCGAACTATTATAACGTTAACCCCCTGGATGCCACAGGGACATATATGTCCTTCCCCTTCAACCCTCAATTTCAAGTCCAATAAAAAATCAAAATATCCCACGCACACAAATACACTTCACAGTTTCGAATTCTTCGGGAAATTTCCTGTTTCTTGATACCATCCACTATTATTTTAGACAAAGTTCAAGTGCTGAAAATGACCTTTCAAAATAGGCTTCAGTAGTGGTATGTAGGCCTTTTGCCGGACATTTTCCAATGGAGATTAACATAGGATTTACTACCCCCGACAAGTCGAGACAAATCACGCGAAACGAAAGACATGCTTGCGAATATTGTATAGCTGTTGTGCAATTATTCATGACTATTATCCAGATGGGGTTCCCCATTCACAACCACGAGACACTAACACATTCGGGAGGTTACAACAAAGGTTTGAATATTGTGGTATTGACACCTACAGTGATTGATGACGTTCTTCCCAGGGTGATATGTATACAAAATATTGTATAGCTGTTGTGTCAATTATTCACGACTATTATCCAGATGGGGGTTTCTCAATCACAGCCACGAGTCACTAACACATTTGGGGAGGTTACAACAAAGGCTTGAATATTTGTGGAGTGTGGTGTGTGTATATCACCACACACAGACAACGGATATAATACGGGGATGAAATAGAATTATAATAACATCACCAACACCGCATTAAACAAACTTCAATCACCACCCACGTTCTACGCAAAGTTATACCACATCCGCGAAATGGAATCGGTTCTTATTGCGCGAATACTACAACATCTATTGACGTTGGCCTATGCCCACACCATTTTCCAAGACCTGAAATCAACCTCACGTGAATCAGTTGGGCAAGCACTAGTCTCTATAGACGAAGAATCCGTTATGACCAAGTGGAGAGACTACATAAGTATCATTCCTAGTCTGCGCACCATATCACCGCTGTATTATTTAAAATATGAATGCAGGGACTATCGCGATACGGTTTTTAAAACAGATCATTGGCAAGAAGAGCTTTATCATTGCGTGTTGAGAGTGAAAAGGAGGAACACACCATCCGCGGTGGTGGAGGAGAAGGTGTATGGCTCAGCAGACATTAGCTCGTAGGTATTATGACCCCAAGGAACCAGGTGCCTTTGGAGGATATCAAAAGTTTGAACAGGCTTTGAAAAGAAAGGACCCCCACATCAAGTCGCAGCGTGTGAGGAAGTGGCTTAACAAGCAAGACGCGTATACCCTTCACAAAGCTCCACGTAGAAGATTCAAGAGAAATAGAGTTATAGTCAGCGGAGTCGGGGTACAAGCAGACGCTGACTTATGCGATGTGTCAAACATAGCACATAGCAACGAGGGTGTAAAATACCTGCTTATTATCATTGACTGTTTTTCCAGATTTGTATGGATCAAACCATTAAAAAACAAATCATCGGAAAAGATAGCCCCAGCTATGAAAACTTTATTCACAAATATGGGGGCGAGGGTGCCGTTCACGCTGAGGACGGATAAAGGCACGGAGTTCCGAAATAATGCTGTGAAAAAAGTTTACAGTCAGTTTCATGTTAATCACTTTGTTACACAAAATGATGATATTAAGGCCAACTATGCCGAACGTTTTATTAGAACATTGAGAACTATGCTATACAGATATTTCACGTACAAGAGGACGTATAGATACACGAACATTATTCAGGACATTGTTTACAACTATAACCACCGTCCACACAGATCACTTCCCAACGGGAGAACTCCAGCCGATGTTAATCACACGAACGAAGCTCGCATATGGTTGGATATGTACGACAGTAACAAATCAATGATTAAAACACCCTCCCACGTGAGGAGGAGAGAGGTAAAACCCCCCAAAACATTACCACACGTTCAGAGATACGCGTTTAAGATCGGAGATCTAGTGCGACTATCCATGAGCAAGAGAGCCTTTGAAAAAGAGTACCAAGAGAAATGGACTCAAGAGGTCTTCAAAGTTGCGAGTCGACAGAGACGAGATGGTATTCCTATATACAGTGTTGAAGATCTGCAGTCAGACCCAATCCAAGGTTCATTTTATCAATCTGAATTGAGCAAATTTAAAAAAAACCCAAAGGAAACACTTTGGCGTATAGAGAGTATTCTAAAATACAGGACAGTGAAGGGGGGAGGTAATAAGAAAGGCATCAAGCAAGCGCTTGTTAAATGGGTGGGTTTCCCAACGAAATTCAATTCGTGGGTTGACGCGAAAGAGATCACATAAAACCCGAACCAATAACACAAAAACAAAGAAATACCAACACAACGCCACCAAGAAGAAGTGAGTCACAAAGAAAGGATAACATATCATAATGAAGGACGAATGGATAGTCGCCCACAGCAACAACAGTGCTTTATACTTCCCAGACAACCAACCACACAAGTTTTCCCTATATCTTCAGCAACCTCTACGGTTGGATGGTCATTGGAGTGTTGCTTTGAGGGAATTTTATGCTAAACGCGCAAAAGGAAGGAAGACCAAGGTAACAGATGACATGCTCTACATCTATTGCTCCATATGTGAACCAATCATTGTGGATGGTGAACGGCGTCCACTTCTACGACGGGTAAAATCAACAACATATTCCACAACCACACAGTCGTGGAATATAAAAATAGACGATCCATATGATATTAGCATTCGACTCGTCAATGACACTATTCAACAGATCGACATATACATAACAGATGTAAGCGACACTCCAGCCACATTCTTAACAGATGTGTCATCATTGACACTTCATTTGAGACGATACCCTTTTTTGGTTTAGACATTCCCTTCGACTAAAACGAAGAGAGGAGTCATGACGGATAGTTTAATAGAATACCGAGGAAAAGATGAAACCGATGATGGTCTGTACATTCCAAACATATCTAGGTGGCGTAAATACTATGATGATGTTGCTGAGGGAAGGAAGAGGAGCAATACCACAACAGACCACACCCTCAACATTATCAGGTTCAAACCCGCTTCTAGTATGATCACATTGGAACGAAGCCCAACATCACATGATTTATTACCCCCTCCACTTACCTTTTCTACTACAAAGTCAACAACAGTCGTCACTGACAAGGAGGTCATTCCACAAAAGGACATAAGAATAGTAACCCCAAGTGAGCAGGTCGTAGATCAAGCAAAGGCAGAGATCAGACGACACCCCGACTCAGTCTCTACAAGCGCAATGGGGTTTATAAATAAAAAACGCGGACAACGCCGCGTAGGCAGTAGTGCAAGACGCGCGCTCTCTGGGAAAGGGAGAAGTAGAAGAAGGAGGACAAACCACCCCACAAAGCGAACAACCACAGTGATAAACAAGAAGAAGAAAAGTAGGAACACAAGTGGGAAGAAGAAGAAGAAGAAGAAGCTGAAGCGCGGATCCGGGAGAAAGAGAACCATTGAAGACATCTTTGGTTAATAACTGAAACCATTCCTCTCAACTCAAAAAAAAGACAACCCAAACAAACAACAAACCCTAGAGACGACATAACAAGCCATCGGATATGACGGCGCTAACAAACGATCCGAAGTTTTTCACCGAAACGCAACCCCCGAATTATCCTTAT